ATCCCTAAACCCCACATAAAAAGCTGGGCATGGCAGCCATTCCTGTAACACGAGTGCTGAAGGGTGAAAACTGGTAGATCCCTGGGGCTTACTAAGTAGCTATTCTAATCTGAGACAGCAAGCTCAACTTCGGGGAGAGACCCTCTCTCAAAAAATAAGGCGAAGCCACCGAGGAAGACGTCCTGTTAACCTCTGGCTTTCACACAGTTGCACACATGTACATACATGCATGCATACATACTCAAACACCTGAACTCAGGAGCACACGTACATACACATACAAACTTATCTGTACTTAGAGACACTACTGGCTCCTTGCCAGGGACAGGCCTCGGCACTTCCGAAGCCCCTGATTTGACTTCTCCCGTGATCCATCCTAGCAAACAGCTCCCTTTTCTCCTCAAAGCCAGTGGTTCCTTTTGTTTGAAACAGTTCTATGTAGCCTAGACTAATCTTGAACATGCATGTAAGCAGAGGATGATCTTGGACTCCTGATCTTCCTGCCTCTAACTTCCGAGTGATCAGATTTTAGGTATGAGTCCCATGTCTAGCTAAAGCCATGCTAACATGGGTTCATGACTGATCTTCCTGAAAAAAACTGAATTACCTAAGTACAGAACACCCTATTCACACACCAAACTGCCACTTCAAAGGCACAGATGACCCAGGAAAAAATCCTCATGTGGTAGTGAAGTCTTACAGAGAAGAGAGGTCCCTTGTTGCTTTGGTTAAAGATAGCCGTGAGCTGCCCACATATGTGCCATGAACAAAACTCATAGTATCTAATGAGCAGTGAACCTTTTTAAAGGGAAGCCTGGGCCATCTCTCCAGACCCAGGGCAGAGATTTTAAAGAAAAGAAAAAACATCACTGGAGGCCAAACTATCAGGCTCTGTGAAGACAAATTCAACAGAAATAAAGGTTAACTATTTTTATTCAGAAGTTAAAAGCCTCAGAAAAGAAAGAAAACATCTGGGCCTGGGGCAGGGGCAAGGAGTTAAGAATTTGAAGGTGGGAGTAAAAGAAATTGGCTCTTAAGCATAAGAGTAAATTTAGCATTCCAAGGCCAGACTGATGTTTCCACTGAGTTAGCTGCTATTGTAGCACCAGATCCTTCATCGTCAGGGCATGGTTCTCTCCTCTTGCCCTCCTCACAAAGACTGTAAGACCTTTAGGGACACCATCTGGTCTCTCAGCAAGTCCCCCTCTTCTTCTACGGGGTAGAATGAATGACTCTAGCAATAGGATGGAGGATAAAAGCAGGTTGTGTTTATATATTTGTGTGTGTGTGTGTGTGTGTGTGTGTGTGTGTGTGTGTGTGTGTGTTCATGTGCCTGGGTGCACATGTGTCTAACAATCTTGGAGGATGCTATCAATATGAGAGTGAAGGGGAGAACATGGAAGGAGTTGGAAGGGGCTGGAGGGAGAAAAGGGAAAAGAGGAAATGATGCAATTTTCTTAAATTTAAAATGTAAAAAAAAATAAGTAATTCACATAAAACACAAAAATTTCAAGTGCTCAAAATAACTGTAAGAAGTTCAACTCTGAAGATATCATTCCAAATATGCTCTCACTATTGAATACTACCTGGACTGCATCTCAGATCCTTGGGCCTGCAGGCCTGAGTCCGGCTTTACTCATAGACAGTCTGAAATGCTCTGGATTGTCATGAACACTGCCCATGAGGTCAGGAAGGACACATTGGGGTCTTCAAAATTTTGCTGTATGTGCTCTCCTGACAAGAGCCATCCATTTTCTCAGAAACAGTCCTGCAACTACATTAGGGAGAGCTCTAGAACCAAAAGCTGGGTTGGTAATAAGTTTCACCATGTTCCTAAACACACCCTAGATAAGACAGTCAAGAAGCAGGCTACAGATCTGTACATCCTCTTGGGATGATGGTCTTTGGGCCAATAAAAGAAGTTCAGTCTTGCCTTTGACGTCTGCCCTGCAGGGCAGTAAATGGAACAACTATTCTTGGCTAAGCTAAACCCTGAAGCTACTTGTTATTTAGATTTTATTAAATCTTGGGATTTGAAATGACTTAAGCCATGCCATAGAGGATTTTAGAGAATCATTCTGACTTCACAGTGATGTGTTATTATCAAGTAAGATAATAACTGGGAAAAGAAGGTATGACAATTAGTGTTAAGTATCAACAGGACAAAACCAGGAAACAGGCCTCCATGGATTATCTAGCTCTGAGCTTGCCTATACAGGATTATCTTTTTGTTGTTGTTGTTGCTGTTTTTAATTTTATAATTGATTTAACTTTACATATCTTTTTGTTGTTGTTGTTGCTGTTTTTAATTTTATAATTGATTTAACTTTACATATCACACACGGATTCCCGTCCTCCCTCTTCCCCCAATCCACCCCCCATTCCCATCTCCAAGGCAAGGACTCCCCTGGGGATTCAGCTCAGCCTGGTAGATTCAGTTGAGGAAGGTCCAGTCCCCTCCTCCCTTCACCCAGGCTGAGCAAAGTGTCCCTGCATAGGCCCTAGGTTCCAAAAAGTCAGCTCATGCACTAAGGACAAGTCCTGGTTCCACTGCCTGGGGGCCTCCTAAATAGTTCAAGCTAATCACCTGTCTCACTTATCCAGAGGTCCTGATCCAGTTCCATGGGGGATCCTCAGCTATTGGTTCATAGTTCATGTGTTTCCACTAGTTTGGCTATTTGTCCCTGTGCTTTTTCCAATCATGGTCTCAATATCTCTTGCTCATATAATCCCTCCTCTCTCTCGCCGATTGGACTCCTGGAGCTCCACCTGGGGGCTGGCCGTGGATCTCTGCATCTGCTTCCATCAGTCATTGGATGAGAGTTCTATCATGACAGTTAGGGTGTTTGGCCATCTGATCACCAGAATAGGTCAGTTCGGGCTTTCTCTCAACCATTGCCAGTAATCTATTGGGGAGATATCTTTGTGGATTTCTGGGGACCTCTCTAGCACTTTGCTTCTTCCTATTCCCATGGGGTCTTCATTTATCATGTTATCTCTTTCCTTGTTCTCCCTCTCTGTTCTTGATCCAGCTGGGATCTTCTGCTCCCCTAAGCTCTCTTTTCCCCAACCCTTGCCCTTCATTATCCCACCTCATGTCCAGATTGCTCATGTAGAGATCTACGGGATTATCTTAAACTGAGGTGGGAAGGCCCACTCTAAAAGCAGGTAGTATCATTCCCTGGGCCTGAGATCTAGAGTGTGTAAAAAAAAAAGAGAAAATGAGCCGAGCATAAGCATTCACCGCTTTCTGCTTCCTGTGGATTCATGTGATCAGTTGCTTCAAATTCCTGCTGTTGTGACACCATGATTGTACCTTTGAAACACAAACCAGAATACATCCTTTCTCCCTTGAATTGCATTTTTCGGAGTATTTTATCACAAAAGGAAAAGAAACTAAGACACAGGACAGTGCTAAGTGGTGTCTTTGTGCACTATTTACATACTACAGTCAAGAAAATCAGCATCTGGGTCACTTTTTAAAAATCTGTCCATCTGCACATGTTGATAGGTTCTTAGTCTACTCTATCATACAATGGCTGAGGCCTGTCCATTTAGGCTCATAATCAAGGTTTTCATTAGTTCCATCATATCAATGTTATCAACTGAATAGGCTCTGGAAACTCTGAATAAAGCTCTCTATTATTTGAGTTCTACTAACACCAAATTTTTAAAAGTATTTCTGGCCGGGCAGTGGTGGCACACGCCTTTAATCCCAGCACTCGGGAGGCAGAGCCAGGTGGATCTCTGTGAGTTCAAGGCCAGCCTGGTCTCCAAAGCGAGTACCAGGAAAGGCGCAAAGCTACACAGAGAAACCCTGTCTCGAAAAACCAAAAAAAAAAAAAAAAAAAAAAAAAAAACAGCAAAAGTATTTCTGAACAAGCAAAATTAAAATTCATCTTTCAATTAGCTATGACATTCTTAAAGGGTTTACTTTAAGATAATGTTGGGGGAACTCTTTCAAGCAATATTTAACTCAAGATGCTTCGGTACTGTGCGAGTGCTGTCAAGCAATTTAGAATCACCAGGAATTGTCTTACGACTTAGGCCCACTCACACAGGCATCACCATTCCCTGGATGGGCTTCTAGACTACGTGGAGAAGTGAAACTGAACAACAGCAACATTTATGGATCTTTAAGGTGAGGATTTACTACGACCAGCTGCTTTGGGCACCTGCTGTTTCAACTTCCCTAACATGGGCTATATACCTTGAACTGTGAGCCAAAAATACCTTTCCTCCCTCAGACTGCTTTGGCCAGGGTATTTTATCATTAGAGAAAAATAAGACAGGAACTTTAAAAGCAGACAACTAGGGCTAGAGAGTGGTTAAGGGTTGTTGCTGCATAATGAGGAATAGTTTGGATCCCAGCACTCATTTAACAAGCTGGGTGGCCCACACACGACTGTAACCCCAGTCCTGAGGGGGACAGACAGCATCCCTAAGGCTTGCTGGCTTCTGGTCTACCCAAGAAAATTTGAGTTCCAAGTTTAGAGAAAGACCCTGCTTTCAGAAGTAATAGGCAGCGAGTGACAGAGGACATCCAATACCATCTTGTGTTTCAACTTGTGAATACACACACACACACAATTTTTTTTACAAAGCAGACAATAAAATTCAGTGGTTATTGGAAAACATATTTTTTTCTGGTAAAATACGATTAAATAATGAGATGCTTTTTAATGTCCCAATCCAAACATTTTATCACTTAGCCTAACTTGCTTTTTGTAAGGTTTTGTTACCTTTGCTAGTTTTAATTTAGTCTTTTAGCAAGTTTCTCAATGCACTCCAGCCACCATTATATTAACCACTGCAGTTTATCAGCACCATCAATTGACCCCTAGGTTGGTCATCTTGAATGACACTTCACAGTTCCCTTTTTACTAAAATGTTATTTTTTCCCACTCTTCAGTATCTGCCCATTTCATGGAACATGTCAAAACTCTAGCTAATCATATACTAATTAAGTCAGGCCCTGCACCTGGACAGATGACAGCAGATGTTGTGAATGAAACTTTTATTTACACACTGTATCTAGAAGCAGATACATAATTTTTTATACAATTGATTTCCAAAAAATGTGCAAGAAATTACTATACTTCGCTTACAAACCAAAACACTTATTAAATCAATGGACTTTGGATAGTTCATTCTGTGGTGTTCTCAGTACAAACAGTACACACCTGATTTGAAACATACAAAGTGTAAACTACAGCAATCTGGATTGCAGGTATTAATTTCATAGCACACCAACTATGAGACTTCTTTACCCCAACATGAATACATACTGTTATGAAATTCTAAGACCTCCTCATCCTCTCTGGTTGGAGAATTTGGGTCGCTTTTCAAAAAAAGTACATATTTGCCTTGTTATATTATGACTGATCAATAAAAAGGATGTTATAAAAACTTTACAGGATTAAAAAAGTATTAAAAGAAATCAAATTTTATTATTAACGTACCAATACCTTTATAATTTTAAAGTTATTTGTGGAAGTGGCAACTGTTCTTCATTAAAGAATATTCAACAAAACTGTCTATTGCTGGTAATGTCATTTCATTTTCCAATTAACCCTTCACATTCAATGAAAGAAATTCAGATTTAAATCAAAACATATTATTTTGAATCATTCATAAAAGTTTCTTTCATATATAAAGTGAAATGTACAGTAATTAAAGTTGGCATTCCTGAAAGCAGTTAGAGATACTTAGCACTAGGAAAGAAACTGCATAAACCGGTAAGATTTCAGTAACTGCTGTCCTATTTCAGTAATACTGGCTCAGAAACTATGACATATACTTTGTTTTATCTCCTTAATGCCAATGAGTTAGCCTTTATGGCACATGATTTTATTCAACAGCGAGACGGTTGCCCTCTGTAGCTGGTTTCCTTAAAATTATTTTTTAGTTCCATGGTTATTTACTATGATATGTGACCTAAATTTTCAGATTATTGCACCATGTAGAAAGAAAACAGTCTTCCTTAGAGAAAACAAGGTAGTTTTCAAGTACTTTCTGTAGTTCTCATATTTATAAAAATGTGTTAAGTGTCTTAGGAAGCCCCAAAGTAACTTCCAGCCTTCAGCAAGTTTAGTGGTGAAATATTTGAGTAAAAAAACTGAATCACTTGTTACAAATGGACGCAGCTTTCCTGCTTGCTATTTTCTTGCCTTAACCTAGGAATTTTAAATGTGCAGATTTAAGAACAGCTTACAGGTTGTATTTGTATCATCTAAGTTCAAAGAAACCCAGAAAGTTAACCAACTTCTATTTAAGCCAAGATACAAGACAAGGACAATCTTTCTCTTTCCATTTTTAACAGACAGCATCCTACAAAGCCATTATTTCCCACTGTTTCTTATTTCTGTCAAATGGATGTCTTGGCTACAAAAAAACAAAAATACTGATAATACACCTTTCTGTGAATCTGATTTCTCAATAAATGCTGATTTTTATTCATAAACTATCAGAACCTGATGATTTCAAATTGAATTAGGACAGGTCATATTAAGTATGAAAAGTTGTTTTTTTAATATTAAGTATCAAAAGTTGTTTTTTATAATAAAGATTGCCCTAAAAATAACACAAAATTTATTATTAGAAAGATTTAGATGAAAATCAGAATACTCTTGACATTTAATGGGTAGATCCAAAACACAGGGCACCATGAGAAAGAGTAGGAAACAAGCTATGTTCATGTGAGACATGTTGGGGACAGTCCAGAGACTTTAGTGAGCCATGATCTTGAGAACATGTGCATGTTTCTGAGATATGAAGCCATCTTGACATTCACCATCAATACGGTGACTATGTGACACCTGCCATCTAACGTAGATGCAGAGACTTTCACCCTAGATATATTTTCAGTTGTTTAAAAATAAATAGTTTTCCAAAAAAATAGTTAAGTGTCTTGCATTAATTTGATAACAAGCCTACAACTCTGCAATAGTTCTTACTCCAACAGCTTATAATGAATGCATGTATTATTACAATATACTCCATATTCCATCATATTAGATGAAAGACATCAGAAAATGAAAATCTTTGTAACAAGGTCCAACCAACATTCCATCAAAAGTAAGTACCTTGCTCCTTAGAAGTCAAGATGCCATTAACACTGTAACACAATGGCATTGTGCCTTTTCTTGTAATATCTCAATTCTAACCCTAGAAAAATAGAGAAAAATTTAAAGATACATATATGTTTGGATGACAAAGCCAGAAAGTTTGACCTTAAGACCTTTCCCCTTGTGATTTTTTTTTTTTTTTAAAGCATGTGTAGCTGGAAATACTTTCTGAATGGGGCAATCTTCAAATACTATCACTTAAAAGTTTTAGTAACACCATTGCAGAACTCTGAACTTAACAGTCTATATTCCAAAATAAGCTTTAAAACCTGGCACATCATTCTCCAACACAATGATAAAAAAAAAAAAGAGATGCCAAGTTACTTAAGAATTAGCATAATCTTCAAAGGGCAGTCACAGCAGGAAACTATTTTTGCATATCTGATATGGTTTTACAGTTTTTCTCACACAATGCAACACAATTTCCAATTATTTAATCGATGTCAGTCAGGGTTATTTTGGGGACAGAATGGTCAAACCCCAGCACACTCTAATGACTACATAGAAGAAAGATAAGTCAAATTCAAAATAACTTTTCTATTCAAATCAATTTACAACTTTATATAAACTTTAATGTAAGAAAATACAACTCATTTATGAAACTTGTTTTGTCAAGTTTATGGAGAAAAGTATTGACTAAAGAAATCACAGATCAAACATTTAACTGAAAGAACCTCTCTCATACACACACTCATACACACTGCTCACAAGATACCAGGGTTATCTCACTTTTGTAACAATGGTTTGGGCTTTACAGGGCTTTAAGTTATGCCAATTTGTACCCGAGTTTAATGACAGAAAAGGCAACAATTTCTAAATTGGGTATATATTTGTTTACAATTTTTAATGTAAGGCCATTTATCAAAAGAGACAAACCACAAGATGAAAACAAAGGCAACAGAAAAATTCAAAACAACTATCACATCCTTAGAAAATAATTTAGAAAAGTGTTGTACAAGATATGTTGCAGATTTACATTCCATTAACCAAGACTGTGTCAATTCAAAATTCTGAATAAATCTTTTTTAAAGTGTGAGACTTAAAAAAATCATTTTTCAGTGTACATGTAAATATGTTTTATCCCACACATTTATTCAACTGGGCCATTTAACGTCATAGCAATTTTTATTCTGTACGTTTCATTCAACTTTACTTAGGGTTGAACACACATGAAATGTGCTTTAATGCATAAGAATCACAGTGGATAGCAGCAAAGGACTGGGGGGGGCATTAGGGAGAATCTGGTCATTCACATTGTGATTATTACATTAAAGAAAGATAACTCACACTTCTAGATCCTCAAGACTCAAGACAACCCTTTCCAAAGAATCAAAATAAACTCAAGACACCTTGCAGACACTTCCCCAACCCTGAACAAATTGATGACCCTTTCAGACATAAAAACTAAAATAGTTATGGCAGCAAAGACTTCAATGGCGATGTAAGTCTGTAAACTGTACTCCAGTCTTGTTTCTGAACCCCAAAGTGCAAGAAGCAGGGCTCCTAATCTCTCAGTAGTGCTTCTCCTGCAAATAATCCTTCATCTTGTTTGGCAGAGGCAGTTTCTGAATCAGGTCTATTCTGGTGTACTGACGTATGACGAAGCGGCACAGGTACTGCAGAGAGCGCACCTGCATGAACCGGGACACTGGGTTAGTCAGTCTGACCGGGTAAGTCGCAGATCCTGGCAACCGTGACCGTGAATAACAAAATGCTCCGTTTTCAGAGTCCCTGATTGAATGCTCAATTAAGTCAACTATAGATGTATGCCCTTCTACGTCTGGCTGTTCGTAAAAGCTGAACCTACCATTTGAGTGCTCAATTCTAGTGTGAAGTGTTTTACCATGGGAACGAAAGCTCAGGCTTAAAAGGTAGCGGTCATCGGAACTATCCCGAACAAGAAAAGAACCATCAGGCACGTTTGCCAGCTTCCCCTCTGCCTCCCAGCGTGTGATAGGACCCCAATACCACCCCTGTTTTGCAAGCTTCTTCAGCTCCTCCGTAAGACTTGTCACAACCATGGGCCCACTGCTCTGCACCGAGTCATAAACTCTTGAAACCCCAGGTGCAGAGTTGGGATCGAAATTCAAATGACAGCGCACGCTTTCGGCCATGTGCATGTCCGGGCCTGAGAGGCCGCTGAAGTTCCTTTGGATTGGGTTATTCTGCATTGGAGGTAGCAATGGTGAGAGGGGAGGGGCATCGTCATGACCTGCTCTAGGGTTCTGCAACATGACTCCTGTGGTGCCAATCAACAAGTTGTTCACCGAAGAATCCACAAGGATCTCCGGGGCTACAACCAGGTCCTGGTCCACCTGACTGTCGTCTTCAGAGAAGGCGCTGGCCCCTGGCAGCACGGCCGACACCTCCATGGGCGAGGACGTGTCCAGGCAGCAGTTGCGCGGCCCTTCCAGAGGGCACATCCCGTCTTCTAAAGGCACGGTGTACTGAAGGTAGTCCTGAGACATGAGTCCGATAACTACAGGCACGTGTTCCTCCAGATGGAGGCGCAGGTCCCTGGGCGAACCAGGGCTGCAGCGGGACTCAGGGCGTGGCTCTGGCTGCAGGTCCCTTAGCTCTCTGGGCTGCAGGTCCCGCAACTCCTTGGGTTGCAGCTCCCGCAGCTCCTTGCGCACACCATTGACAGGGCCTGGGCTGGCAGCATGCACCAGGGCCTTCACCCGCATCTCCATCTTGATGCATGTCTCCTCCGAGCTGGTGGGCCTCAGCGGCCAGGGTGTGGGGCTGTAGTGGTGGCTGCGCAGTGATGTAGAACGGATGGGCCGTGGGGCACGCACGTCCTTGAGGCCCCCGGGCGCTGAAGCCGAGGAGAAGGTGTCCTCGTCTGTAGGTGCAGTCCCGCCCTTGCCCTTGCCCTTCTGCTTGGCGGACAATCGCCTCTTCAAGGTGCCCATCAGGCTTTCGCTTTTGGACCTGTTCTTCCCTTTCTCCTCCTCACTGCCAATGTCGCAGCTGGCAATGTCCTTGCCATAGCAGCTCCCAAATAAGGAGTCATCTTTCACGAAGTCGCCAGCGAGGGACTGGGGCTGAACCACCATGAACTCGGTTTCGTCTTTGCTTTTACTCAGGTTGAAAGATTTCCGGAAAGTTTTCAAACTAATTTTCTTCATTGTGACTAGTTACCTAATCCAAACGGGTCAATTTCTCTCTGGAGCAACTATCCCCAAACATCGGGAGGGGCTGTGATGCTTCATGGATGAACTCTGCCCAGCTTCATTTAACCTCTGGAGCTATTTTCTGAAAAAGAAAAAAAAAAAAATTAAACATTTTAGTTTTCAAATAAAACAGAATTTTTTTTAAGCTTCAAAACAAAAGAGTCCAAATCTATTCTTAGGAATTTCACCCTGAAGTTTAGGATAACTGCCTGCTATATACGGGGCATTGGGCAAATACTGGGTCCTTCATTTACTCCTTATATTTTGTTTGTGTTTTTTTTTTTTTTTTTTTGGTTTTTCGAGACAGGGTTTCTCTGTGTAGCTTTGCGCCTTTTCCTGGAACTCACTTGGTAGCCCAGGCTGGCCTCGAACTCACAGAGATCCGCCTGCCTCTGCCTCCCGAGTGCTGGGATTAAAGGCGTTTGTGTTTTTTATACAGGTCAGGACTAGGTCTTTTCTATCTGACCAGGCTCATCTTCTGCACCAGGTCTGAAGGAGCAAACTCAGCACTGCCCGTGCACCAGGGTGAAGGAGCAAAGCACAGTGAGGCACTGTGAATGCCTTGGAAGAACAAGTCCTCACTTCAAGCACACACACGTACTGTGAGACCAGCCTTTTCTATGGCCCCTCATACTCCTGAAGGCCATAGCTCTTGGCCATCACAGGGGCACTGCCTGACTAGAAGAAGAAGAAACGTAACACCTTTCCAACTACTTAGTGCAACGCAATTGATTATCAGGAGACCACAGCTCTAACTCACTCTGATTGACTGGCCACTACTACACACACAACACAGTGCAATAATATGAATGCTAGTTATACGGTCTTAAGTCAGGAGAAGGGACAGATACATGAATGGTAAATTATAGTACAAATTCATCTGAAACACACTGCTAACACAGGTGGGAGTTGAGGGAAGAAAAGAATCTGACAAGTGTTGTTTTAACTACAGACAGCAGCTGGTTGTTGTATAGACAGAATCTGCATGAAATCATGCTCAATGAAACCACTCAGACCAGACAACCTATCAAGAGGAACAGCTCTATCATCTCCACAAAAAGCAGCAGCAGTTTTAAGTCTCACTGTCATATACTGTTTTTGAAAGATACTGTGTGGTGGTATTGTGTTCCCCAAAATATTGTGCACTCTAATAAACTTATCTGGGGTCAGAGAACAGAACAGCCACTAGATACAGAGGCCAGAAAATAGTGGCACACACACCTTTAATCCTATCACTTGGGAGGCAGAGATCTATCCGGATCTTTGTGAGTTTAAAGCCACACTGGAAATAGCCAGGCATGGTGACTCACGCCTTTAATACCAGGAAATGAGGGCAGAAAGCAGAAAGGTATATAAGGCATGAAAAACAGGAACTAGCCTGGTTAAGCTTTCAGGATTTCAAGAAGCAGTTCAGCTGAGATTCATTCTGGATGAGGACTCAGAGGCTTCCAGTCTGAGGAAACAGGATCAGCTGAGGAATTGGCAAGGTGAGAAAGCTGTGGCTTGTTCTGCTTCTCTGATCTTCCAGCATTCACCCCAATAACTGGCCTCAGGTTGGATTTTATTAATAAGAACTTTTAAGATTCATGCTACAATACTGTAAAAATAGAATACTTATAAATATTTGGAGCACAAGTTACTTTAAACATTAAGCTGTACCCTGAGTGAACTCACTAAGTACCTGGTCTTGTCCCCAAGCAGAGGTTAACTCCCAGATAGACTTGGTAGCTGATTCTGAGATGGTAAATGAAGTCACTAAACCTGGGGTTCCAAGAGTCCTGTTTGCCATTATCACATAGCTGCACCACAGATGAGAAAAGCACTTGGCAGGTATCTACTTGAAAAATGCTACTAATGCATATGCAACCGATTCTAATATTAAGGGAACATGATCCAATCCTAGATATTAGAAAGTAGCTCAATTAAGCCATATGTTTTTTAATCTCTTTCCTACATCTTCTAGGCAAAGACTACTCTAGAATTTTTTAAAGAGTATCTATTTTCCTGTTTGCACTTCCAAAAATATATGCCATCTTTTTATAGGATTACCATCTGTCTTGTGCCCAAGTAAGTGTTCTGAATCAATCTTGACACTTTTCTAATTCAAAGTTTTAAGTTTAAGCATACACTTGAAAATTTGTATGATACTTCAAGGGAAAAGGATTTAGGCATAAAAAAACAACAAAACAAACAAACAAAAAACTCTACAGGGCCAGTGAGGTGGCCCAGCAGGTAAAGGTACTTGCCATTAAGCCTGATGTCCTCTGACCTATACACAAACAACAATGGTATATGCAAGCACACATACACTAAACATTAAAAACTGTTTAAATAAAAAAAAATACTCTATAGACAGAAAATAACATCTAACTGCATTTTTACAACTTTTTTTTTTTTTAAGACAAGGTCTTGGGTAGACCAGCTGGCGTAAAACTTACTATGTAGCCCAACAAAAACCCTGAACTCAATGAGCCCAAGTGCTGAGATTACAGGTGGGGGAGCGCCCTCACTCTGGGCGCTACCACCTCTTTTTAAAGGGATGGTTCCAGGTATCCTTGTGTATCATTCATTTTAACATCTACTATAAAAACTAGAGACATGTCAAACAATGATTTAAAGTTAACAAAGTAGCTCTGTTACCCTCATTTTACAAAAAGGAACCTCAGTCTCAGAGAAATTAAAACCTGTCCAATGAAGCGAAATCATTTGCTCCTGGGAATGGCGAGTTCTTCCCCTGTGCCACACACCCTGCCTACAGGTGTAGTCTTAGGTCAGTGCTCCTCAAACTTTCCACCTTCTGTGTTTTTAGTTTCTTAGAAGACCTTGAAAAACGCTGTTTGGGAATCACAAAATGTTTTAATTATGGATTTTGTGTCTGTTGAAAGTTGTCCTATTAGAAACTAAAACTGAGTTTAAAAATACTTATCTGTTTATTTAAAAGCACTAATATACTCATTATGCATTAACATAAATCAAATTCCTGAGAAAGAACTGTATTTTCCAAACAATAAAAACAGTAACAGAGGAGAGTAGCACCATTTCACATTACTAAAAATCTTGTGCTGACAGAGAACGCAGCTGAGCTTACATCTGCCTCTGCATTTCATCTTTCAATATGCTCTTTATTCCAAGGGTAAGAAAAAAAAATCTAATAAACAGAGACCATGGGAAGAAAAGGTATTTTGCTTAATACCTTTTATATACCTGTGCATATTTTAATTTGATAGTATATAAATTCAACGAGTGGTTGTTTTGTGTTTCTGTACATGTGTCTGTTCGCACATTCATAGATATGCGTACATGTGGATGTGATGTTGCAATGTTTTCCTCTACTACTGTTTCCTATTTTTGAGACAGGGTTTCTGGATGAACCTAGAGCTCATTATTCTAATGAGCTTTGGGAATCAGCCTATCTTTAGTCCCCTAGCACTCAGGTTACAGGAGGTGGGCTGCAACATCCATCTTTCTACATGAGTTCTAGGATCCAAACTCTGGTATGCTGTGGATATCGCTCTATATGCTGTGAATGTGTTGCTCTGATTTGGTTGGTAAATGAAACGCTGATTGGCCAGTAGCCAGGCAGGAAGTATAGTATAGGCCGGACAAGCAGAGAGGAGAATTCTGGGAAGTGGAAGGCTGAGTCAGGAGTTGCTGCCAGCCGCCGCTGCCATGAGAAATAAGATGTAAAGCTACCGGTAAGCCACGAGTCACATGGTAAAGTATAGATTTATAGAAATGGGTTAATTTAAGATGTAAGATCTAGCTAGCAAGAAGCCTGAGCCACTAGGCCAAACAGTTTTAATTAATATAAGCGTCTGTGTGTTTATTTGAGTCTGAGTGGCTGGAGGCCCAGGCGGGACTGGAGAAAACTCTAGCTACACTGGTATTCATATTTGTGTAGCAAGTACTTTATCCACTGAGCAATCTCTCTAGCCCCAAATGATAATTTCTTAAAAGTTAAATTGTACTGGAAATCTGAAACTGCATCAAGATGTTTACTTTTACTCTGTTTCATACAAATTAATTGTATCTTGCATTTGAATCATTGCTCATACATGATTATGTAATATTATGCTTTAGTAATACAACACCAGAAAAGGGTTTGTTTTTGTTTCCACTTTTTACAAAAATCATATTTGTGAATATCACCACTGATTACACTAGAAAAGTCCATAGGTAGAAAAAGCAGTTAAGGCAATGGTGAGAGACACAGATTTTTACAATTTTAATCTTTGTTTGAAATTTTAAAATGGGCCATTAACAATAATACTGTTTACTGGTTTCATGGAAATGAGAGGCTCATTCTAACCATTCATGAGAAAAAAAAAAATCTGAAACTTAAGTTGAATGACCATAATGCTTGTCAATTGTTCTTTTAAGTAAGAGTCTAATGTCAGCCTGGGATACTGGAGAGGTTGACTCTCCCCAAAATTAAAAATTTAAGAAATTCAAGGAATTTGGGGGTGATAAGACTTAATTACAGTGGGGCTTAAATGGGTGGATCCATTTGTCAAACTCTATGAACTGTGTACTAAAAGACATGATTTCATTGTAGATGAATTATACCTCATTTTGAAAACTCAAACAGAAATTTCTAAGAGCCATAGACTGTAGCTAGAGTTTTCCTGCCTTGCCCACAGTCAGGACAAATCTCTCTCACCTGCCAGTCCCACAGTCGCTCAGACCCAACCAAGTAAACACAGAGACTTATATTGCTTACAAACTGTATGACCATACCAGGCTTCTTGCTAACTGTTCTTATATCTTAAATTAACCCATTTCTATAAATCTATACCTTGCCACATGGCTCGTGGCTTACTGGCATCTTCACATGCTGTTTGTCATGGCGGTGGCTGGCAGTGTCTCTGATTCAGCCTTCCACTTCCCAGAATTATTCTCCTCCTTGTCCCGCCTATACTTCCTCCTGCCTGACTACTGGCCAATCAGTGTTTTATTTATTGACCAATCAGCAACACATTTGACATACAGACCATCCCACAGCAATAGACTAGCTAACAAAAACTCTATTTCCAGGCATGGGAAACTGCCTTTCAAACTGGAACTAACTTGAAAGCCTCCCTC